GGATAGAGCGTCGGCCTGTGGACCAAAGGGTCCCAGGTTCAATTCTGGTCAAGGGCATGTACCTTGGTTGCAGGCACATCCCCAGTGGGGTGTGTGCAGGAGGCAGCTGATCGATGTTTCTCTCTCATTGATGTTTCTGACTATCCCTCTCTCTTCCTCTCTGTAAAAAAATCAATAAAATAGTAAATAGTAAATAAATAAATAAATAAAATTACCCATTATGTTTATGCACACGAACAACAGTGTGGTGATTGTGAGGGATGGGGTGGGGTGAAAACACAATACAGTGCAAAGATGATGTGCTGTAGAATTGTGCACGTGAAACCTGTATAATTTGGCTATACAGTGTCACTTCAATAAATTCAATTAAAAAAAATTACCCATGATGTTTAAATACACATACCCAGGTCTCAGCACTGACCCAAAGAATTAGAATCTCTGGTGGGGTGAGTGGGGAGATGGAGAGAGGGGGAAGTCAGCATCTGGGAGACTGAGGCCCAAAGGGAAACAGAGGCAGTGGTGGTCAGGGAGAATGGCAGCTGCTTTTCTGGCAGGGGCATGGGTGCCAGGTACAGCACAGAGAACTGGGTCAAGCTTATAGGGTCCCTAGGCCTGGCCAGCGATCAGGGCTGATCCGGGCCTTCCTTACCCCCAGCTGCTGGCCAGAGCCTTCCTTCGTTCTGCGCTGCCCCCTGGTGGTCAGCACACGTTATAGCGAGTGGTTGAACTGGTCTGTTGAACTCCCGAGGGGACAATTTGCATGTTAGCCATTTACTATATAGGTTGAGTCCCTTGGTACATGTATTTAACCATGGGTACGTGTGTGTGTCTGTGCGGTATACATGTGGTCTTGCCACTTTACTTTCAAGAGGTGGAGTCTATGCCCCCTATCGTGTTTTTTTTTTTTAAAGTTTTTCATTGATTTTTTTTGTTAATCCTTTCCTGAGGATATTTTTCCATTGATTTTTTTAGAGAGAGTGGAAAGGAGGGAGACACACACACACACACACACACACACACACACACAGAGAGAGAGAGAGAGAGAGAGAGAGAGAGAGAGAGAGATTGAGTGATTGCCTCCTGTACGTGCCCTGAGGTATGTGCCCTTGACCGGAATTGAACCTGAGACCCTTCAGTCCTCGGCCCGGCTAGAGCTATGCCCCCTACCTTTGAATTGGGTGGCCTTTTGTAACTTAGTTAACCAGTAGATTGTGGTAGGAATGATGCTATGTGACTTCCAAGGCTAAGCCAAAAAGATGATTCAGCTTCTGATTCTAGTTTTGCTAGCTAGAACAATCACTCTTGGAATCTAGCCACCATGCAGTGAGGAAGCCCAAGCTGCCTCAGGGAGAGACCTACTTGGAGAGGAATTAACAGCCAGAACCAACTTGCCAGCTATGTGAACCATAGTGGAAATGGATCTATCCCCAGTTATACTGCCAAGACTAATGTAGCATGGAGTAGAGATGTGCCTTCCTGCCAAGTCCTGCCCAAATTTGAAGCTTCAAGAGCTAAATAAATGCTTGCTGTTATTTTAAGCACCAAGTGAGCTGGTTTGTTAGGCAATAATATACTTCTAACCTAATAGTCACTCTGCCTTTCTTCCTATATGGATGAATTCTGGGCTCTCTCTAAATATTCTGATAGTGTTAGGGGCAAATTTAGAATAGTGGGGACTAGCAATCATTATAAGAAATATTAATCATGCTCTGTTAACCATGATTGTCCTATTCTAATTAGAGAAAGCACATCCTAGCCTGGCTCAGTTGTATGCCCCTGGACAAGGGAGTTAAGGAATCCAGTCCATTCTCCTTATTTGAGAACTGCCTATTATCATGGAAAGATTAACCACCTTATCGTCTAAACAATGGAGTCATGGAGATGCCCACATTGCCTGTAACCTGTAACCATTATACCCATTCTTATTCCTTTTGCCTACTTGCCCATGTCATCTGTAGACGAAAAGGGGCCACATGCTAACCTGACTAGCTCAGGGAAGGTTTGTGTGGCAGCCTTGCAAACTCGGAGACTTAAAGTAACCACAAAGGATGGTCTGAAATTAAAACTTTTTAAACTAAAAAGAAAGCATATGGCTGGTATATTCCCTGACAAAGTTCAATCTTTATCTTAACTGAGCCTGTCTATTGTATTTTTGCATCTACAGTAACATATCATTGGAATGTCAAAGTACTTTCCCTTTTTCCAGACCCCTCGAAACACAGGCACCAGAGACCACAAATCCCCTCATAGTTATTCATTGTTGGCTGTTAACTATCCTGCACCACTTGTGAGAAATGCTCAGCTGTCTGAATTAAAATAATGGACTCGGGACAGAAGTATGGGGAAAACGAGACCTTTAATACGTCCTCAAGAGGTGGTGTTTGTCAGGTTGTACCGGCACACATGGAATAGCGGATCATAGGCGATTTAATCCCTAAGGTGTGAGAGTCCCTCCTCCGTTTCCTCATTGGCTGAGTAATAGGGGGTTAATAGTTTCCTCATACATTGCCTCAACAGTTTCCTCATAAGTTTTTGTCTCTTATTGGGTTATTTTTTAAAAATGGGCTGAGGCCTTTTCTAGTTGTTTCCACCTCCCCCTGTCTAGTTGAGACGGGTGCCTGGGGGGGGGGGGGGGGGTTCCACCATGCTGCTGGCTCACTTACACAGTTCTTTGTTCTTATAGCCTCTGTTCTTATATCCTCTTCCCTCCTCCCTACGTTCTGTTTGCCTTGGGGAAATTCAGTAACCGTTTCCATTAAAAGTTGACTGTGCTGAAGATGGATCACAGAGGCCTACTTTCTACACCACTTAAGTAAAAGAAATATGTCTATCATTTTACTTTTTATCTAATCCCAGAGGTTTTCCTGCTTTGCTTTCTCCCACCTCCCTAGTCTATCACCAATGGATTTCATATAACCCATTTATGTCTCCTCTTGGGATTGTAATGTATAAAACAAAGTGCAAAACTGCCATTCTCCGGAGCATTATCTCAATCCATTGAGATTCTGCTTCCCGGCAATTATCGACAGTTTGGCTCAAACAAACTCACAAAAATTCTTCACAGGTTTGAATGTTTCTTACATTAACAAATCTTTGTCTTTCTATCCAATATAAGCAGCTGGCTTCTGCGGGGGTGGGGGGGGGCGGGGGGCGTGCAGAGCAGATTTTCCCACAATGTCAGCATTATTGGAATAAATGCTCATACATGATTCACCCATCTGCTTAATTGGCTCAAGTAGTGACAGGCAGCCCATACCCAATTGTTGTCTGGTTTCAAAAGTATCCTTGTCCAATTTACTTTACTTGCCCAGATTCCTCTAATCACAGAATCACACAGTTCAGACTTCTGGTTATTTGAAGTGCTCATTATTACCTCTGAGGTTTGGTTTCTCATCTAAAAAGCACTGGTAATAAGAAAGCCTATCTTATAGACTATATAATTGAGATAATTCATGTAATCGTTTAGCATTGTGCCCAGCACAAAATGTTTTCTTTTATTATTCTTATAGATTTCTTGCATTTATATCCCTCATTTCTTTACTGCACTTTTTTTTTTCTTATAGCTTAACTAGAGGTCCGATGCACAAAATTTGTGCAAGGGACTTGCCGAAACGGCTGCCTCTGCCTCAGCCCCCGCCGCCACGGCTTATTCCAGAAGGTCATCTGGAAGGATGTCCAGTCTAATTAGCATATTATGCTTTTATTGTTTTAGATGCTATGTCACAGGCTATTTTCTATGACTGGCTTGCTCTTCCCTACCAGATCAGTTACAATCTTACCTCATCCTTTGGGACTCCCACTTCTCCTTTGGGAAGCCTTCTCTGACTTCCCTAAGTAATTAATACCTCTCTGTGCTCAAATAGCACCTTGGAAGAACCTCTATTATAGCCCTTAACACATTGGGTTGTGATTAATTTTTCACTGGTGTTTCTTCTCCACTGGACTTTAAGTTCCTGGAAGGCAGGGTCAGAGTCTTTGTACTTTGTATCCTCATCTTCTAACCTAGTACCCGGCACACCCTCATTCACCGTCTATATCTGTACTACTATGCTAGGAAACACTGTTGGGAAGCAGTTAAGGGGTCCAAGTTTTGGCAGGCTTCCCCAGGGGACAAAACAGCTCCACTTTCTCCTGCAAAATTTTGGAAAACGTTAGTTAACATCTCGGCCTAATTTGTGAGGTGGAGCCTACAGACCTTCTTAAGACTGCTGTGAAGATGAAGTAAAATAATATCTGCAAAAAGCCCATCACATAGCATTCAAACATCAGGATGTCACAAAATGCTTACCCAACCACCCCAATTTTTGGGCACCGTCACTCTAGTCCTCTTTTGGGGCCCCTGCACACTATGGGTAATCCCTAAGGCTAAGCGATTACTCTGGGCTCTCTAGTCCTCTCCTTGGTCTTTCCTCCAGCTAGTAATTCTGCGTCTCAACCACTAGGTACAGAGGTTCAGAAGCCATTCTTCTTCCTTGCTCCAAACCCTTCTGTTTTAGCCTTCCCCAGGCTAAACGGTGTGTCTAAGAAGCTTGATTTTTGCGAACTTTAGATATCAAAACTCTCTGGCTAGGGTTTTCCTGGGTAACTTGCGAGCCGTTATAATATTTGCGACCACATTTTGGTCCTCCCCCTCTACGAGAAAGAAGCCTGCGTTTCCACTAGTAGACCGAGGTCGTTCCCTGCAGCGCCAGCCCCGGCCGCGCTCAGAGCAGGAAGGTTGAATGGACAAACGAACGAACGAATGAATGGGCTGCGTCGGCAGCCGGCGGCCCGGCCTCTGTTACGTCGCCCCGGGCGCGGGCGTGGCCGCGGAGAGGAGCCTGCGGAGCGCGCCGCCCGCTCCCACCATCGCACGGAAGGCTCAATCTGGAGCATCGAAGCTCCCGCCGCCCAGCGCGCCCTCCCCGCCCCAAATCCCTGCCCCGTCGCGTTGCGTCACTTCCGCCACCTCAGGGCTGGGGCTGGGGCGGGGAGCGCGGGGGAGGGCCCAGGTCTGAGGGAACCCCACCCGCATCCGCGTTCGAGCAGGGACTACATTTCCCGAGGGGCCTCGGCGGCGGCGGCGGCGGGCGCGGCAACGTCCCCCCGGAAGTGGAGCCTGGGACTTCCACTCGTGCGTGAGGCGAGCGGAGCCGGAGACTAGACCGGAGGCCGAACTTGGGATCTGACAAGATGGCCGGGCTGCCCCGCAGGATTATCAAGGTAACCGCCCAGACCGGCCTCCAGCTCCCTGCTCTGCTCTTGCCCGCTCGGCAGCGCGGTTGCTCGCTTCCGCCGGCCCGCGCTGGGAGGCCGCAGGCAGGCGGAGAGGGTCTGGCCAGGCGGCGAGCGAAATCTGCCCTGGGGAGGGGGCGCGGGGAGACTTCCGGCCGCGTGGGGCAGCCCCGCGCGAACACCCGGGGCTTCCAGGCGCCCCTGAGAGCGGGAAGCCCGGCCTGCGCCGAGTGGAGGGTGGGTGTGGGGTCTGGTCTTGGCGCGGGCCTCCGCGGTCTTTCAGACACCCCAGCGAGCCGCGGGCGCGGGAATCGGGCGGGCCCGGACTCTGGCGGGGTGTGCCCGACACGGCTCCTCGATCCGGATCC